GGTTTTTCACACCTGTGGGCCTGTTAAGGGGTCGGCCGAGTAACGGCAGTGCTGGAGACGGAGAAGGCGGGTACCGCTCGGCCTCTGCCTCCTGCGGTCCGCAGTCCTCCCCTGCCTTCTGGGCACAAGCCGGTGCCGAGTAAACGCCAGGTTATCCCTGAGGTGTTGCTCTCGCTCCACAGCTGTAAAACTTTTCCTTCTTGGAATCAGGAACAAGAACGCTTTCAAAAATATTAAAGAAAAATAAGCATGTAATTCACGTAATCCTTTTAGCTGATCGGTATTCCATAGGTGCACTCTTCAGACAAACTGGCCCCTTTGTGCCACCTTCTGAGTCACTGTGTATATATACATCGTTTATGCCCCTTTGCTGGTCCTCATGGCATATCCTTTTGCTCTCTTAATTTTGTTTTTTTTTTAATAAAAAAGAAAAAAGATAACTGTAGAATGAGATCATGGCTTGTGATGTAAGCATCTTTGTATAAAATAACATAAAGCAGTAAAATACACACGTTTTGCCTTGTTTAACCAGGTTCTGGAAGTACTACTTACAGCGTATTTTTGTTTTGTCATCCAAAGGGCATTGACAGCGAGACAGCAGAATGAAGACCAAGTGCTGTAATAGATTTGTGTTTTGCTCCAAGACAACCATCTATACCTTTCTGCTTGGAGGAGTGTTTATTACATTGGGCTCAAGTCGAATCCTTTTGATGAAGTATTCTGCCAATGAAGGTGCTGTTGGGCAATAAATATAATGTACCTCAAATAAGAAAGAGTTGATATTTAGGGTAAAACAGACACCCAAAAGCCTAGTTCTCTGCCTCCAGAGTTCTTGACATAAACATTCAATTATATAAATAGCGACACATATTTCTGTACTGGAAAATCTCTGTATAGTCACAGGTCTAACATGGAGTGGTAGGTTGGGTTGCAAAGTGTGATCCACGTGGAGATTCACCCTTAAAAGATGAGGCAGTGGATTATTTTATAGCTGATTTTCAAAGACTGAATTGTTGTGTAAGCACTATCGATGGTTACATGTCTTGACTGAAATATTTGTCTTGCAACAGTCTTAGGAGAAAAGCAGTATCACAGTGGGTGTGCTATAACTGGCTAGTATGACTGCTTCTCCTTTTGCCAAGTATTAGCAAGATATGCTAACAAAGAAAAGAGATAGTCCTAGAAGAAGGTTGTGTCATCCTGGAAGCCATTTTTTGTGAGGGGAAAAAATAGCATACTGTTGTTTGGAGAAAACATACCTATTTTTAATTTTTTTTAGAACAGCGATGTTCTTGAGTTCTTCCAAAAAGTTCTGCTGTGGACCAAATGAGTAAAGATTTCAACCTAGAAAGGAGACTGTTCAGGAAGTTGTCTATCATAAAAATTGGAATATTTATAATAAAAATGCTGACATAGCCTTTTGTACTTATGGAAAGTGGCTAAAATTCTGACTGGAGGGGTTAAAATAGTTTCTTGCTCTAATTATGAACTCAGGAAACAGAATCTGATTGTGTACTCTCTATGATTTGCTGAATCCTACAGATAACAAATATGATTACCTTCCTACAACAGTGAACATATGTTCTGAAGTAGTAAAACTGGTCCTGTGCATGGTATTGGCACTATGGGTTAAGAAAAAAGGTAAGTACCTATGTTTAAAATAACTAAAATGTGTTGAGTTTCTAAGATTTGTTGTATTTAAAATCCCTTTTTTTTATTGTGGGTTTTTTGTTTGTTGGTGGTTTTTTTTTTTAAATGATAGATTCACATGTAGTAGTATGGAGTAGGTCCTTCCGGTAAGGTTCAGTGGAATTGTGTCTTCCATGCAGAGTTAAAACTAAACTTTATTTGTATAACTCTACTTTGTGCTGTAAATTCAGGTGTTCTTGGGTTTTGTGTATGGTAGCTGAAATGGGGACAGGTAAGTTGAATTAGAAAGTGTAATGAAGACACAGTCTAACATTTTCAGAATTTTAACACAGTACCATGCTAGGATGATAGGACTCACCTCACTGTGAAGTCACAACTGAACAGATGCTTATAAATTGCATTAACTCAAGGATTGGCCTTCATGTTCTGTTGTTCTGACCGCTCTTACTTAAAAGCACCACGACCTTCCACTGAAGAGGCTTTGTATGTGTGTAGTGGTATTTGAGTCAGAAGCAACATATCAATGTTATAATTCAAGGTAGCCTTGTTGTGAAGACAGATCTTGCTATTCAGAAAGAGTGGTGTCAGGCTTCACTAGCTACTGATTTTGCATTGCAGGCTATTTTTCTTTTTTCTTTCTTGGCTTTTCTGTCCTGATGTAAAAAGGATGAGAGGTTAACTTCGTAGCATTTCAAAATGGCAGAAAACAGATGTTTAAGTTGGAAGGGGGAGTCAGGCACTGGAGGCTCATGTTAAATTGAACTGCTGGTTTTGTCCACTTCTCTATGTAAGTCATGGCTCTGGAAAGCTGATGAAATTTTTACCTCCACCATTTAATACAGACATACCTAAGACAGTAAATGTATTCAGTCAGTGTTTGCCATCATTGGCTATTGCTGATTATGTTTTCTGGTTTTATTTCTTTTTTTTTTTTTTCCTTTTTTCTTCCAGATGTCTGAGTTTTGCTGAATTCAATGTGTTGGTGGTTCAGAAGAGGATTAGATAACATTGTGTAGTCTTAAATCTGTGCTAGCAAAGTACTTCTGTCACCAACTCTAGAGTAGTCTATCACAGTCTTCCTCCTAGAGTGTGTGTCCCCTGAATACCTAAGTAAATGTCATTCTTTGTGCCTTGTCCTTTCTTTCTTCCTTCTTCCTATATGTTTTCTTTTTACACAGATCATGTGCTGTGTGCTACAGGTACTGAGTTCTGGTTTATTTTGTACTTCTGACATTACTGGCTGCCCTTCAGGTGCTCATGAACAGATCCACTGCCTGTCATTGTTTCAGTTCTAAATTAGATCATCAGAAAATGATACCCAGTAATGATGTCACTATTGTGTAGGGACTTTGGGGTGCTTTTTGGCCCTCAAAGAATGGTTGATAATTGAATTTTTGCTCCCAGTGGACAAATACTCTGATGGGGGTAACAGGTTCCCTGATGTTTTCTCTGCTGAAGCAAGGAGGTGAATGCCTGTAGACACAGGATTGCTGCTCTAGCTGTGTGTTGTGCCCTGGATCTCTCCTCTATGTTGCCGGAGGGCTGTGGTAGCTTAGTTTTTTCAGTCCAACAGTGTTCCTGAAAACAGAATAGTACCTATTCTGTTACAAGGGAATTGGCTTTCGATAATAAGAAAGATGTCTTTCTTACTGATTTCTTTTCCTTTCAGAGGGTTGTTTGGATCATCCCTTTGAATGTCTTTCCTGGAAGAATTTTTGTAATTCCATGAAATGGTCAATTCCTGCCTTTCTTTACTTTTTGGATAACTTGATTGTCTTCTACGTGCTGTCCTACCTCCAGCCAGTAAGTATACATATACTGAATAAAGTATCTTCCAATGTCTTAGTGGTAGGTAAAATTGCCCTTAGACCATCTACAGTTGTAACACTGGCAAGGCAAAATTTGCAGGTAAAAGAATGATCTGTTACCTGACCAGCCAGACCTTCCCATTCTCTTGCCCACTGGTCAGTGTTGTACAGCTCTCAGTAGAGGATAGTGTGTATTTTCTCCATCCAAAGTGATTTAGAAGTAGGCTGAATTGCTTAAGTACTAGGCAGGTTTTTGGTGGTTTCCCTTCTTTGATTACTTCAACTCTGTATTTCTCTTTCAATGCATTTGTTAATCTTGCTAGTTTTTGAGCCGCACTTTTCTGTGTGGCTCCTACTACTTTATGTGTGTGACTTGATATGATGACATTTTCTTTCCTCACTGACTCCAAAGAAAAGTGAATAAATGTAATCCCACAAAGGGAGTAAGTGTAACTGAAACTGAGGACAGGAGGAAGAAAACTGCTTGACTCTTAATTCTTGCATTTGTTTATTAGTTATGTTTAAGCACAAAATCTAATTGGTACTTTCTTCTAGCTACGTTCATCCTTTTGGATGAATCTACATATGCTCAGGAAATAGCACAGTTTTTGTGCTTTCTTTTATTTTCATGCTAGGATACTTTTTGGTTCAGAATCTATGTTTGAAGTTAGATGGCAACAGATGGTTAGTGCTTGCTATAAAATAGCGTGGTTGCCCCTGTTTGACATTAAAAATAAGTATAAATGTTTCTGTTCCTTCTCTTTCAGAATTTTTCTTTAAAATACTGCCCTTTTAGGTCTACATTTCTGTCAGGGACAGACCAGAGTCCAGAATAGGACCTGGCTGGAAAAATCTAATTAAAATCAAGAGTCGGATATCTTAAAATAGCATGCATGGGTGCTTGGTTCTGTGGTTTTTTGGTGGGGGGGGGGGTTGTTTTGTGGTGGTGTTTTTGAGGTTTGTTTTTTGTTGTTGGGTGGTTTTTTTTTTACTTTAGGAAGGAAATTCAGCTATAATGTTTGTAATAACAAAGCCTGATGTTTAGAAAGTTACATAAACACTATTGCTTTCTTAAGGAATTTGATTTGGCTCAGTTAAGGTCATCTTTTGTAACATGCACAGCTTTTATATTTTACACACACACCTCCCCACAT